AATTTATGATGCCTTACCCAGAGGTTCAGAGACACACTCTGATGTGGAACAACAAGTTCCTTACCCCCTGTCGTGAACAGCCAATGATCACAACAGGTTGAAGAGGGAAAGCAAAATGTTTACTGAGTATCGATACCCAAGGAGACAGAGAGAATTACTTCTCTAAAATATCTGTCTCCCTGAGCAAAGGGATGAACATGATTATATAGGGAAATGGGAAGGAGGTTGAAGATCCCTTGGACTGCCAGGAATGCCTTTGTTCTTCTCTTCCCAGACTCAGCATCCCTCTTCCCAGGGTCATCTTGCTCCATAGGTTACAATTTTTAGCCACGACCAGTCATGGGAGAGGGTTAGGCTTAAAAGAACACACAATTGAAAATAGCAAATCTAAAGAACTCAGCATCTATAAAGAAGTTGCCTATTCTATTTACTTAAAAGAAAGCAAAAGGGAGGCAAAAATAGTAAGTTAGTCACTATGATTAATGTCTACTTTAATCATGCCTGCTAGGTGTTAAAGTTCTGCAGTTTTTAGTGAGAGGCCCCTTTGACCTTCCACTTCCGCCTTCCACAACTCCAGGCTGTTTGAGGATGAAAAGCTCTCTCCAAATATCAACAGCATCACCCATGTCATGCATGCTATCCCATGAACTTAGAGGTATATTGACACTTTTGAGATTCTGGAGGGTGGTTTTAATGGTAGAGATGGGAGTGGAGGCAAGTTACCGCATTCCGATGGCACTCTATCTTATTACCATAGCCACACAGTTCTGCCTTCATCCTGTGGAGTCTTGGTTTCTGAAATGGGTGGAATGCTGTGGCATTTCATGGTATAACAATGAGCCCCCAAATCCGTTTGGAGAGAAATGTCCATCTCAGACCAAACACAATGTGGGTATGTTGAGACTAGCAAATACTACCAGATTTTCTTGGGAGGGGGGCAGGGTGGATATCCCGAGTTTTTTCCTACTGACAAAGGAGGCCTGGTGGCTCAGTGGTTAAGTTCTTGGCTGCTAACCAAAAGGTTGGTGGGTTGAACCTACCAATGCCTCTGTGGGAGAAAAGACCTGGTAATTTGCTCCCATAAAGTTTATAGCTAGATCCGGAGCAAAGAAGAGTGAAGAAAATCAAAGACACAAGGAAACAATTGGTCCTGGGAGTGGTTGGCATAATTTCCCAGTCAATTGTTCAACTGGCTGATAACTTCCCTGGGAAAAAGGAAGCTGCTTAATCAGTCTTCCTTCCCCTGGCCTAGATCACTGCTGCTAAAAAGTATGGGTCATGGCCTATGCCTGTCTGCAAAATGTTACCTGTCCCCAGAAAGAAAAGTACAGAAGCTAAGAGGAAACTTTCCAAACTTTTTATAGAAGTTTGACATCACTGAAACATTCAAACAGCATCCAATTTGAGCCGCTCTTTGTTTTCTAAATTTCAGTTTTCTAGTAATAATTTTTTTTAAAAAAAATTGACTATTTTTTCCATTTCCCAAAGACATTTTAATCATTCCAAACAGAAACCCACCAACCACCAAAGCCAAAGATGAGGAAATTGAAGACTTTTACCAACTTCTGCAGTCTGAAATTGACCGATCATGCAATCAAGATGTGTTGATCATCACTGGTGATTGGAATACAGAAGTTGGAAACAAAAAAGAATCACCAATAGTTGGAAAATATGGCTGGAGATTGCGTGATAGAATTTTGCAGGACCAATGACTTAGTCATTGTAAATACCGTTTAAACAACACAAATGGTGGCTATACATGTGGACTTCGCCAGATGGAGTACACAGGAATCAGATTGATTTCATCTTTGGCAAGAGGTGATGGAGAAGCTCTATATCTTCAGCCAAAACAAAGCCAGGACCTGATTGTGTAACAGACCATCAACTGCTCAATGCAAGTTCAAGTTGAAGCTGAAGACAATTAAAACAAGTCCATGACAGCCAAAGTGTGACCTTGATTATATATATATCCCTCCTGAATTTAGAGACCATCTCAAGAATAGATTTGATACATTGAACACCAATGACCAAAAACCAGAGGAATTGTGGTATGAAATCAAGAACATCATCCATGAAGAAAGCAAAAGGTCATTAAAAAGACAGGAAAAGAAGAAAAGACCAAAATAGATGTCAGAAGACACTCTGAACTTGCCCTTGAATGGAGAGTACCTAAAGCAAATGGAAGAAATGACAAGATAAAAGAGGTGTACAGAAGATTTCAAAGAGCACCTTGAGAAGATAAAGTCAATTATTATAATGAAATGGGCAAAGACCTGGAGTTAGAAAACCAAAAAAGGAAGAACATGCTTGGCATTTCTCAAGCTGAAAGAACTGAAGAAAATATTCTAAGCCTCGAGTTGCAATATTGAAAGATTCTGTGGGCAATATATTGAATGATGCAGGAAGCATCAAAAGAAGATGAAAGGAATATACAGAGTCACTGTACCAAAAAGAATTGGTTGATTTTCATCCATTTCAGGATGTGACATATAATCAAGAACCACTGATACTGAAGGAAGAAGTCAAAGCTGCACTGAAGGAATTGGTGAAAAACAAGGCTCCAGGAATTGATGGAATACCCATTAAGATGTTTCAACCAACGGATGCCCCGCTGGAGTCACTCACTTGGCTATGCCAAGAGATTTGGAAGACAGTTTCCTGGCCAACTGACTGGAAGAGATCCATATTTGTACCCATTCCAAAGAAAGGTGATCCCACAGAATGTGGAAATTATTGAACACTATCATTAATATCACATGTAAGTAAAATCTTACTGAAGATAATTCAAAAACAATTGCAGCAGTATATTGACAGACAGCTTCCAGAAATGCAAACTGGATTCAGAAGAGGACGTGGAATGAGGGATATCATTGCTGATGTCAGATGGATCTTGACTGTAAGCAAAGAATACTAGAAAGATATTTATTTGTTATGCAAAAGCATTAGATTGTGTGGTTCATAACAAATTATGGATAACATTGAAAAGAATGGGAATTCCAGAAAACTTAATTGTACTCATGAGGAACTTGTACATAGACCAGGAGGCTGTCATTTGAACAGAACAAGGAGACACTGCGTGGTTTCAAATCAAGAAGGGAGTGTATCCTTTCACCGTACTTATTCAATCTGTATGCTGGGCAGATCATCCAAGAAACTGGACTATATGAAGAAGAACGTGGCATCAAGATTGGAGGAAGACTCATTAACAACCTGAGATATGCAGACAACACAACTTTCCTTGCTGAATGTGAGGATGACTTGAAGCACTTACTGATGAAGACTGAAGACTACAGTCTGCACTATGGACTACACCTCAACATAAAGAAAACAAAAGTCCTCACAACTGGACCAATAAGCAGCATCATGATAAAAGGAGAAAATACTGAAGTTGTCAAAGACTTCATATTACCTGGTTCCACAATCAACACCAGTGGAAGCATCAGTCAAGACATCAGACGATGTATTGCATTGGGTAACTCTGCTGCAAAAGACTTCTCTCAAGTGCTGAAGAACAAAGATGTCTCCTTGAAGACTAAGGTGTGCCTAACCCAAGCCATGGTTTTTTCAATCGCCTTTTATGCATGTGAGAGCTGCACAAGGAATAAGAAAGACTGAAGAAGAGTGGATGCTTTTGAGTTGTGGTCTTGGCAAAGAATACTAAAAGTACCATAGACTGATAAAAGAACTAACAAATCTGTCCTGGAAGAAATGCAGCCAGAATGCTCCTTGGAAGAGAGAATGGCCAGACTTCATCTTACCTATTTTAGTTGTGTTGTCAGAGGTGACCATTGCCTGGAGAAAGATATCATGTTTGGTAAAGTGGGGGGTCAACAAAAAAGGGAAAGGCCCTCACAAGATGGATTGACACAGTGGCTGCAACGATGGGCTCAGGTATAGCAAGGATCGTGGGGACTAAGCAGTGTTTTGTTCTGTTGTACACAGGGTTGCTATGAATCAGAGATGACGCTACGGCACCTAACAACAACAACAACAACAGAAACTCAGTAACAAAACCCAAATCTACTGCAGTTTGACTCATAGCAACCCAATAGGACAGAGTAGAACTACCTCATAGGGTTTCCAAGGCTGTAGATCTTTATGGAAGCAGATGGCTACATCATTCTCCCCTAGAGTGGTTGGTGGGTTTGAACCATCCACTTTTGAGGTTGGCAGCCAAGCCCTTAACCACTGTACCACTAAGGCTCCATATGTTGTTGTTGTTGTTATGTGCTGTTGAATCAGCCCTGACTCATAGCAACCCCTCTTTGGGTTTCCAAGGCGGTATTACTATGGAAGTAGATTGCCCCATCTTCCTTCTGAGGAGTGGCTGGTGGGTTTGAACCACCAGCCTTCTGGTTAGCAGTCAAGTGCCTTAGGCACTACGCTACCAGGGCTCCCAAGGCTCCATATAGCTTATTCCAAAAACTGAACCCATGCTGTCAAGTCAATTCTGAATCATAGCAACTATAGGACAGAGTAGAATTGCTGCATAGGGTTTCCGACGCCATAAATCTTTATGGAAGCAGACTGCCTTCATTGTTCTCCAGTGGGTGGCTGGAGGGTTCCAACCTCCGACTTTTGGGTTAGTAGCAGAGCACTTAACACTGTGCCACCAGGGCTCCTGCCTTAGAAACCCGTTATCTTTATATAACTTCCTCTAGTGATTCATTATTTATTTATTTTAAAGTATTGGAACAGATTGGAAATAAACAAACCTATCCCTTCTGCACATAGAGCTTGTGAAGCACTGATCGTGATAACACCAAAGTAATCTTAAAACCAACTAAAGATCCAATTAAGGAAAAAAGGGGAAGAACCTTATCAAGGCTGATTGCAAAAATGAATTAGCTACAAATCAGAGGCTGAGGAGTTGGCAGCATTTCCTTTATTGCCTCAGGACAGAAATGCCAGTCTCCCTCCCGCTAGCCCTGCGCCAGCTCAGAGCCTGCAAGCCCTGACCCTGGGTCCTGGTTGAAGTTCAGAGTCCGGCCCCTCCACCCTCAGCCCCTGCCAGCGCCTCGCCCGCGCCATCCGGGCGGCGCCATCTGCCGCTTGCCGTAGCGCAGGCCGAAGGAGTTCCAGTTGTAGGCGGATAGGTCCTTCTCCCGCTGCACCAGCACCGCGCCCCGGGGTGAGGGGGTCAGGCGACTGCGGGGGGCGCAGAGGCCTGGCCGCTGGGGCCCGGCAGGGCCCTCGGCGGGCGAGCACCACGACGCCTCCCGAGGCCTCAGCAGGGCAGGGCCGGGCTTCTTCTCTGCGCACCGCTGCTCCCCGGGGTCCTGGAGGGCAACGGGTCCAAGGCGCGTGCCTAGGACAGAAAGCCACAGGAAAAGGCTTCGATGAGGCAGCGATACGTGAGTTCAGGCAGCCGGGAACACCTGCTTACATCCCCATCCTATGCTGCCCTTTTGTTCCTGGGCTTCTAGGAGAATCTAAGCCCAGTGCCTGCAGAACCATCATGACCCTCTTAGCTTAGGTGGTTAGCCGATTGGTACCTCCTCCTTCAACATGACTTTGATTTTAAATGTTTACCAGAGTTATCTAAAATATCTTTTACATTAAATCCCTTCCTTTTGGGAAGCAAACAGGTTATAACTTAGAATTAAATAAAACCAAAGCGTTCGCTCCTCTTCTTGGTTCATAGGAGTCCCTGTGTGGTGCAAACTGTTACCCATTTGGTTGCTAACCTAGTCTACCCAGAAGTACCTCAGAAGAAAGGCCTGGTGATGTACTTCTGAAAAATCAGCCATTGAATAACCTATGAAGCACAACTCTTCTCTAACACACATAAGAATTAACTATATGACCCTATGTCTTTGGGTCAAAGATGGCAACTGGTGTTTTCTTGGCTCATTAGCTGGCACTACATTAGGCTTCTCTACTGGGTGTGAGAGGAGCTCTGGTGGCGTAGTGCCTAAAGCATTTGACTGCTAACCAGAGGGCTGGCAGTTCAAACCCACCAACCACTCCTTGGAAAGAAGATTGGGAGATCTACTTCTGTAGTGATACTGTCTTGGAAACCCAAGGAGGGGTCACTATGAGTCGGATCCGACTCGATGGCAGTGAGTTTGGTTTTTGGTTTGGTTTATTGGGTGTGAGCTCCTTGGGTCAGGGTGGGGGCAATGTTCATTCATTTCTATCCCTGAGAATGGTTTAACAGTGCCTTGCATGTAGTATGGCCTCAGTAAATGCTTGTAACTATGTAAAGTCCAAGGAAAAGCATCTAGTAATAGAAATCAAGAAAGTGGAGCAGTGGAGCTAAATCTATTGTGCCCACACTCTCCTGAAATCTAGCTCTGTTCTCTTGATAACAGTAATTATGACCTTCTCATAAACTGTAGGAAGAAGCTCTGGTGGTGCAGTGGTTAAGGCATTTAGCTATTAACCAAAAAAGTCAGTGGTTCAAAGCTACCAGCCACCCCATGGAAGAAAGATGAGGCAATCTGCTTCTGTAAAGATTTACAGCTTTGGAAACCCAAATGGGGGTCACTGTGAGTTGGAATTGATTTGATGGCAGTGCTATTTTTGGTAATAGGCTATAATAAGGAGCTCTGGTGGTGTAGTGGTTAAAGACTCAGCTGCTAACCAAGAGGTCAGCAGTTCAAACCCATCAGCCATTCTGTGGAAGAAAGATGAAGCAGTTTGCTCCCGTAGAAATTTATAGTCTTGGAAACCCTACAGGGCAGTTGTACTCTGTCCTGAAGTATCACTATGAGTCAGAATCAACTTGATGGCTGTGGGTTTGGTTTTCAGAATAAGCTATAAGGAGCCCTCGTGATGCAGTGGTTGAGCACTTGGCTGCTAACCGAAAATTCTATGGTTCGTACCCACCAGCCATGCCATAGAAGAAAGATGTGGCAATCTGCTTCCATAAAGATTAAAGATTATAGCCCTGGAGACCCTATGGGATAGTTCTTTGTCCTGTTGGGCTGCTGTGAATTGTAATCAACTCGAGGGCAATGGGTTTGGTTTTGAATAAGCTATAGAAGGACTCAATGGAGAACTGGTATTATTCGAGTCACCACCCCATTCCTGGTATAATTTCTCCCCTTTATACTGAGGGTTTGCAAGGCTAATTTAGAAAGGCCCTCGGAATGCATGGCTCATTGAATTCACTATCATTGTTGGCATTAAGATAGTAGAACTCACTCAGGGTAGACAACAGTCCCAGCCAACTGTGGCAAGCGATCAGTGGAAATGAGGGAGGGGACAGAGTATCATTTGGGCCCAAACCAAAAAACACTAGTTGCCTTTGAGTTGATTCCAACTCATGGAAACCTCATGTGTGTCAGAGTAAAACTGTCCTTCAGTTCAGTGTGTGTGTTGGAGGGAAGGGTTGCCTTTGAACCCTGTTCCTCAGTGCCCTGGCACATTTTGGAGAACAAGAGTGTGTGCAGGTCCAGAGTTAATAGAAATCTACCTGGGAAGCCCCTTCTACCCCATACCCTACCTAGGGCCAGGTTAAGATGGGTAGGGAGGATGGCAGCCTTCCCAACTAAGCTCACTATCCTGTAGTTAGGATTACTGCCCAGGCTATTGGTTGTGGCCTCACCTAAACCCTTCTGCCAAAAAAATTCTGTGTCCTTGGAAGTGGAGGGACAGCTTCCCTCACCCAGAATGAACACCTGATCCCAGAAGAGAAGACACTTTTAGAAAAAGACACTCAGGACCATGTTCTCTTTGGGCATGTCCAATAATATCAAAAGTATATGTTCTTAGTTCTATAGATGGAGGAACTGAGGTCCAGAGGCTAAGCCATTGGTTATAGTTTGCTCAGAAAGCTGACAATCAAGCAGCACTAAAACCCAGGAGTCCTGACCTGGGTACCAGCACTGTTCTGCTCATACCACTCAGCAGGCATGCTCTTGGGGAGCTCTGGCACCTGCTGGGCTTCTGCAGTGTTTGGCTGAGTGATTTTGGGGAAGTTTCTTTACCTCATTGGGCTTCAAATTCTCGAGCCCATCAGTTTCAACTCATAAGCTTGGCAGGTATTAAGGCCCTGTCCTTTCGTTTTGGTTCATTTTTTTTTTTTTCCAAATTCCCCATAGAGGGTCTGAGATCACTGCTGAAAGAACTTGCATAGTAAGTGTCTTCCCACCAGATGTGCATAGAGAGGTGGTTGTTGTAGAGCAGAGAACACAATGTGAAGAAACCGTGAAGACGCTTGGGGGTTAACAAGCTCCTGAACCTCTGTGAGCCTTTTGATGCTCATGGTCATTGTTGGTGCCATGGAGTCAATTCCAACTCATAGTGACCCCAAGTGACAGAGGGGAACTTCCCCACAGGGTTATCTTGCATGTAATCTACAGAAGCAGATCTCCAGGTCTTTCTTCTGTGGAGCCACTGGGTAGGTTAGAACCACAAATATCTTAGTTAGCAGCCTGGAATTTTTCTGCTGCACCACCAGGGCTCCTCCTTCCTGCTGCCCATAATAATGGTAAACCATCCTTAACTTGCACAGTTAATGGGACTTGAATGAGTTGCATATGTGCCAATCTTAGGTTTCCATTAAATGCAGTGTTCAACTCATATCAATAGACTAGCTATAGTCTGAAAATTATGGTAAATCTTAATTTACAACAGCTCCCTCCTTCCCACATCCTTTCCTAGACAGTTCATACCTGTGGATCGAGGATCCTTGGCAGGAGCCACCCTTTCTGTTGTTTCCCAGAAGGAGGTGGCACAGAGGAAAAGCAGTAGCTGCCAAGAAACAAATGAGTTCATCCTGGTGAGAATAGATGGGCCCTAGAAGTGCCCTGAGGAGGAGACAGAGAGGGAGAAAGAACTAGGTCAGGCATCAGCTGTGGGTTGGGTGCTGAGAGCATATGCAGTCTGAGAAAGGACGCCTGCTTGTCTTTGGTGGCTCGCAGCGGAGGGATGCATCATGGAAATGCGATAGAGTGTAGCTAAAGCTGAACTGACGCTAGGTGAGGATCATCTAAGAGGACTTCCTCAAGAAGACGAGGCCAGCAAGGCTAGGAAGGAAGGAAGGAAGATGCTAATTTGGTGGAAGGGGCAGAACTACTCACTGGGAATGGCCAGGGTACCATTTGCTTGAGAGGAGGGTAGGAGAAGTGAGTGGGTTGCGAGTGGTTCAGGCCACCGATTGGAGAACTTCAAGGTCCAAAGTTCTCTCTGGAGTCTGGGAGCAGGCACCTCTTCCCTCTGTGCTGTGCTCTGTGTGACTCCATACATCCTGTGCACCACTCTCCCCATTAGAATGTACCAGCCTGAGCCTGGTCCAGTCCCTCCTTCTGTAATAGAAACGTAATTCTTTTCCTTTTCCAAGAACAAGGAAGCGATAGGTTGTGCTTTCTCATAGCTGTTCACAGCCTTGGAGAGCATCACTAAATAGCCTTATTGCTTATGAATCAGGGAAAAGAAAAATCTTTTCCAGATTTATCAGGTTGATTGTCTCCATATTCTATTACCCATGGGCCCTGAGAGAATATGAATTTAATTGGCCTCATCATTTTGGCTGTTGAGATGGAAGTTGCATCTTGTGACCATCCTTCACCCTCTTACGCTCTCCCCCCACACCTCCCACCTTCCAGCTTCCAGTTCTAATCTCTCTTTGAAAAAGTCATGGGCACTTCAAGGTTATCCAACAAACGTATGATTAAAGACAAACCGACGGTGCTGCAGGCTGAGCAAAAAGGGTGCCCTCATCAGACCTAAAGCCTGGAGCCCCTGTCTGGGGCTAAGGGGCTGAGAGGGAGGGGACAGAGTATCATTTGGGCCCAAACCAAAAAGCACTAGTTGCCTTTGAGTTGATTCCAACTCATGGCAACCTCATGTGTGTCAGAGTAAAACCGTCCTTCAGGGTTTTCAAAGGCTAATGTTTTTCAGAACTAGATCACTAGGCCTTTCCTCCCAGGCACTTCTGGATGGACTTGAACCTCGAGCTTTTCAGTTCGCAGCCGAGTGTGTTTGCACCACCTGGGGGTTCCATCATTTGTGCCTATCCACTCCTCAGCCCCATCCACCCCTCTGCTCTTGCCCCCACCCTCAGTCCTCACCCTACTCCTTCTAGGCACATGACTGGGGTATAGGTTTAGAATCCTGAACTGAAATCAGGAGTCTTCAGATCTGGCCACAGCTCTGCCCTCACTCCCTGTGAGACATGAGCAAGTCACCCTCCATCTCTGGCCTCCTGGATCCATCTCTAAAGTAAGGGCATTGGAGCAGACTGGCCACCAGCTATTCTTTCAGACGGTCTTGTATTTTACAGACTTTAATTGTGTGACCTCCTGAAGCCCAGTCCAGGGCTTTCTGCAGATGCATTAAGGCCTGAGCAGGGTGTGGAGTAGAAGCAGGGCTAATCCATTGTTGTTGTTAGGTGCCTTCGAGGCTATTTTGATTCCGACTAATTGTGACCTCACATGTGCAGGGTAGAACTGCTCCATAGGGTTTTAAGGCTGTGACCTTTCAGAAGCTGATCACCAGGACTGCCTTCCAAGGCACCTCTAGGTAAGTTCAAACCACCAAACTTTTAGTTAGTAGTTCAGTGCTTAACTGTTTGTGCCTGTTAGGGACTCCTGATTAATCCATTTGGGAGGACAGTATAAAACTATTTCTCTTTTGAATCAGAACATGGATGCATGGGGTCCAGGGTAGCTCAGGAATCACTCCATGAGCACTGACTAGGTGCTGGTGCTCTGCTGGGTGCTAAGAGTGCACAGGTGTACGAAGACACAGGAGTGCTGCCCCTAGAGATCTTAGTCTATCATGGGAAATTGACTAAGAAACAGATTATTTAGACATAACACCATGAAAAATACTCTGGAGGCATGTAAATACACAGGTTGCTGCAGGAGCCCACAGGAGCTTGACCTGGAGGGTCTAGGCAGGTATTCAGCAGAAGGTGAAACCTGAGCGTGAGTGGGCCAGATGAATAAACTGATTGTCATCGAGTTGATTCCAACTCATAATGGCCTTAGAGGATAGAGCAGAACTGCTCCATAGGGTTTCCAGGGCTATAATCTTTATGGAGTAGCTGATGGGTTTGAACCACCAACCTTTCAGTTAGCAGACAAGTGCTTTAACCACCATACCACCAGGGTTCCTGGCCAGATAAATAAACTAAACTAAACTCACTGCCATGGAGTGGATTCTAATTCACAGAGACCCCACTGCGTTTCTAACGTTATAAATCTTTACGGAAGCAGACTGCCTCATCTTTCTTCTGCAGAGTGGCTGGTTGGGTAGAACCACCAACCTTTTGGTTAGCAGCCAAATGCCTTAACCACTCCACCACCAGAGCTCCTTGACCAGGTGAATAAAGGTATATAAAAGCATTACCAGCAAAGGATGCTCCATCAGCAGTGGGGCTTGAGAGCTGGGGTGGGACTGGGGAGAGAATTGCTGGCCAGCAGACAACAGTGTGGAGCTTTGGATGATAGAGTGTGATGCGGCTGGAGAGTGAGCCCCAGCGGAGCTGGCCCTCAGGGGCACACAGAGGCTTCATCCAGGAGGAGTCTTGGAGGAATGTGTGTAGATCTGCATCTTAGATGGAGCATTCTGGCTGCTTTGTGTAGAAGTCTATGGTCAGTGAGGAAGGGGTGGCAGGCTGTACCATTGGAAGGACAGTGTTCCTTCTTCCATACTCCCCTTTCCCTCTATGCACCCTCCCAGTCAGGGACAGTGGTACCATGCACATCACATGAGAGCTTTGCTTTCCTCCACTGCTTGTCCCTTGCCTGTCCCCAAACACAAATACACACACATTCAGACACACCTGAGGGCTCCCAGAAAACAAGGGCCAAGCCCATTCCATCACAGTCTCCCAACTCTTAATTCACTGCCTAGTCACCAGGTGGCACTGAACACACATGACAGAAATGAATTGTCTGGAAATGGTCCATCCTCTTTCCAAGGGCAACAAGTGGCTGATGTGCTATGGCCAATATTTGTGGTTTCCCCTAACCAAGGGCTTTTTGTTCCTAATGAGTAACAGAGAAATGCCAGGCATGGTAGGAGAGTTTTTGAAGAGGGATGGTTTCCTTCCTTGGGTGACCCTCCTCTATGTTCTTAGTGCTGGGGGCTAGCAGGGTGGGTGGTTAGGTGCCTTTTGGTTGGGGTTGCATTTGCCACCTATAACTTGGGGGTAACTGGTCAAAGGTGTCCCATCCCTCCAGCCTTGTATCCCAAGGGATTCGTTAACTTTCTACCAGGGCTTCTGTGGCCTCTAATCACAACCACAGAGAATTCATCCATTTTATGTATTCCTTCCACAGTAAGAGAGAGCCCTTGGGACCCCTTAGTTCCCAAATGATTAAGTGCAAATCAATTTATTCACCCAGACATCCCAGCATAATCTGGCCAATCATCAGGAAAGATCAGGAACCCCATATTAGCCCACCACCCTCTGCCTGCCTGTCAGTTTGGAGCTAATTTCTTACTCCCTCCTCTGGGTTGGGGGTGGACCCTCCCCAAGTGTGGATGCCGGAATGCACCTACCTTGGCTCAGTCCTGGCCGAGTGGGAGCTAGACGGGTCTCTGCGGTGATGAGTCTACTTAGGTGGGTGATTACCGGGAGTGAGGGGAGCAGGGCTCCTGGCTTCACTCTCACCAGCTCCCTGATCACTTCCCCTTTTATAAAGCCCATGGTGACGTCTCCAGGCACAGGCCCACCTCTGCCTGCTTCTCCCTCCTTATCAGACCCTCCTCAGAGAACACAGCGCTCTAACTACTGCCTCCTGCCTCCTCCTGGCTCTCATGACTGAATCAGTTACTTCTTCCCCCTCCAGAAGCCTTCCAAGGCTGGCTTTATAATTCTCCTTAGTTGTTGCCATCCTCTGTCATCTCCTTACCCCTAGACCCACTCAGCTGGGAACCCAATCTGCCCCAGACGACGTGGAAATGGATTATCTGAGAAGGAATGGTGGGGAGGGGTGTCTGTGTAAAGTGCCTTCTCTCCCTTTGGACAAGAGCCTTGAACACACCCAGGCTTAAGAGGAGAGAAGTAGGGCACAGTCTGACCCAGGGGCTCCTTGTCTGCACATGCTCAATTTGAGAGAAAGCCAGGTCATCTTGGACCTTAGACCAGAGGTGGCTCCAGGCTGTGTCCTGTAACTGGAGTGGTGGGAAGGATTCTCTCCTTTTTCTTTCCTTTCTTCTTCCCTAAAACAATTACAGAGTATTAGCTCAGCACAATGTTATAAGATGAATATGACACAGTTAGATGCTTGAGATAGGCAGGTGAGGCTAAAAGAAAGCAGAACAAAACGGTAGTTCTAGTAGGTGGGTGTACATGGGGAGAAACGCTTTGGGAAGGCAGAGAAGTGACTTCTCGGTGGGAAAGGCTTCCCAAAGGAGGTGGCATTGGGTCGATCTTAGACTATGAAGCCTAATGTGAACAGGCAGAGGCAGTCGGGAAGGACAGGTGGGACAGCTGGGATAGTCTCAGCAGTGGCCTGGAGGATGGTGGTTGGGCTCCTCCATTATGGTCACTAGAACGTGCCCAGTGATCTGTTTTCTCTTCTCTGATTGCTAATGGTGACACCATCACAGAATGGTGAAAGGAGACCCTCCTTCAGCCTCAGGGATAGCTGAGTGTAAATCCCAGCCCCGCCAGGTTCTAGCAGAGTGGCCTTAATTATTAAAGCTGCCCACATCTATAAACGGAGATGAGAACAAAAATAGCCCTCTTGTTGGGCTGTGGAGAGCACCCACCCAGCACGGGTCTGACCATGATTCCTCCCCCTCATTCTTTTCCCTTGGTCTCTATGCGGTCTGTGGCCTAACAACATCTTGAGCAAAAGTTCTTCCTCCCTATGCCTTGCGCTGCTTCATAGGGCTGCTCCCTTGCTAAAGGTTCAGCTAGTGTGAGGGGAGGTTCAGGGAGACATGTGTGTGGTTTAAAGAAGGCTTGGAGGGGGTGGATGGTTCCCTCAAGCATTAGAGTAGACCTAAGGCTGATGAAGGCGCTCTGGTGGCATTGTGTCTTCTAGGCTCTCAGCAGATGGTGAGAGAACTTCTTAGAAACTAAACACAAGTTTCTTCTTGGGACGATGGACAGTGGATGCCTGAATTCAGTTTGTCTCTGGTGGGCTGCCTGCTTATTTCTGCCTCCCCCCCACCCCTGCCATTCTCTGCCCTTCACCAAAAAGCAAAAACACATTGCCATTGAGTCAATTCCAAACTCATGGCAGTGTAGAGTAGAACTGTTCCACAAGGTTTTCTTAGCTGTAATCTTTACAGAAACAGATCACCAGGCCTTTCTTCTGTGGCACCATTGATGGGTTTGAACTGCGAGTCTTCAGGTCAGTAGTCCAGTGTAAACCATTGGCGCCACCCAGGGCCGTTCTGTTCTCCACAGCACCCGCCATCTCCTGTTCTCTCCCCAGGTGCAGCTTCAGGCATAATTGTTTCCTGATAGTTCTGTGTCCATCTTGTCTGACCCAAGGCTGATGAAGGGCCAGAGGGTCTCAAGGATTCTAACAGGAAGGAGACACTGGAGGAGAGAGAGATGTCCTCAAATCCAAGCCTCCAAGCCCACACCCTGCTGGGCCTGCTCTGGGGAGCGGGGGTGTGTCCCAACATCTGCAGGCCTCTTTTGTCTCAGAAGACTCAGTTATCACTCACCATCACCACATTGGCCATCACTGGCCTCATTACAAACCAGTTACTGTGCTAAGTAAGTGCTTTATAGGATTTATCTCACCGAATCCTCACAACAACCCTTTGAGTCATATTATCTCCATTTTCTAGAGAGGAAACTGAGACTCAGAGGGCCACAGTTAGTGAATGGCAGAGCCTGGACATGTTCCCAACTCTGCCTGACTCTAGCATCTCTGTTCTCAAGCCAGGCTGCCTGTTAGAAGCACCTGTGGAGCTTTCAACATGGACAGATGCCAGGCCCCATCGGTTGTGTGCAAGTGGGGCTCACATGTCAGTCTTTTATAAAGCTCCCCAGGTGTTTTAATGTACAGCCAGAGTTAGAGCCACAGTATTACATGCAACGTCCAGCTCCTTATCATCTAGGATGGACTGTATCCTTCCCATAGTGCTCAATCCACATGGAGAGGAAAAACCACCAGTTGCTGTCCAGTCGATTCTGACTCATGGTGACCCATGTGTGTCAGAATAGAACTATGCTCCATAGAGTTTTCTGTGGCTGATTTTTCAGAAGTAGATCACTGGCCCTTTCTTCTGAGGTGTCTCTGGGTGAACTTGAGCTGCTAGCCTTTTGGTTAGCAGCTGAACATAACCATTTGCACCATAAAAAGTGAGTAGATATGAGTGAGTGAATGAATGAATGAGCGGTAGCCTTAGTTTCTGCCTTGCTCACCCTCCACTCCCTGTGTCGGTTCAAAGTTTGGCTCTGGAGTGAGACTGATCTGGTTAAATCTTGGCTTTCCACTTCGCTGTGTTGCTTTGGACAAGTGGTTTAACTCCTTGAAACCTCTTTGATATGGGGATAATGAGGCCAGTATCATAAGACTGCTGGTGAGACGATATGTGGAAAATCTAGCACACAGTAGGTGTTAAATAAATCACTATTATTCCACAGTGGAGTCCTGCTGGCCTCCCTGCTTCTCAGAGCATTGACACAGCCTTAACACCCAGTCCTCATTGTGACTGTTGTAAGCCTTTTTCATTCTCCTCCAACCCTTAACAAACTTTAGTTATGACTTCCCTTCCCACTTCACTGAAAAGACCAAGGTTTATGATGGACTCAAACAGCCACTGAGTGCATTAACTGTTCACACCACCCAGGGACTCATAGTAACTCATGTTCCATGGATGAAGGTTTTATTAAGATAGTTTCAAACAGACATGGTCCCATCTGAATGATAAGAGTCGGTTGGGCAAGGGCTGAAGGAAACCTTGGGAGGAGGCCTTTAAGCCCTCGTATGCCTTTGTCAGCTATTACCAAAACTTTCTTGAAAGTTGACAATGGGCCAGACACTGTCTAGGCCCTAAAGAAGGGTCATGGGAATGAGAAGCTGCCTCCCCAATCAGAAACGCTTCTCCATGGCTGACTACGTCCCTCCATGGTGGCTGGTACAGGGCTTTGGGCCAAGCCCAAACTACTGCAGATAGAAATATAGCCACAGAAAAAGCCATTTGTTTTCAGAAGTGCCAAGTTGTCAATCAGTGGTAACTGCAGGGGTATGGGGGTATTGGGGTCTTCTTCTGGGCTCTCCCCTTTTCCTAAAGGTGGTGACATCATATCTGAAGATGCTGCTCTTGGGGCCCCACTTCTGTGTCTCCTGGCACCCATGCCTATCCTTCTGTGGCAGTGAGTTCTCCATTCTGTAATTGGGTGTGCACAACACTTTGAGGGCAGGGGTAGGTCCTTCCTTGTTGCCTTGGTACCCACACAGTAGCTTGGTACACACAGATACTAAATGTATGCATTGCAAATGACTCTTGTCTCTTTCTGGAGCCTGAAAGAACACTCTTTATCCTTGGAGTAGGGGCTCCCCCACCTGGTGGCACAACAGTGAAGCACTCAGTTGCTAACCAAAAGGCTGATAATTCAAACCCACCCAGTGGCTCTATGGCAGAAAGAGTTGGAGATCTGCTCCTCTAACGATTATAGCCTAGAACTGCCCCTATGAGGCAATTCTACTGTGTCACGTGGGGTTGCTTATGAGTTGGAATCGACTCGATGGCAATCAACAACAGCAGGGCTCCACAGGGTAGGGACTGCTGATCTCGGAAGGCAAGTATCTACCCTCAGATAGGAAGCTCTCCCAACCCAGGCATCCCCTGGTGGATGCACTGTGCTGGACAAAACCTAATGGCTGAGTAGAACTCCCCAAGGATATGTGGGCTCAATACTGAGCACTTGTCTGATGTTTACTGCTGACTGGCTGGCAATCATTCTCACTCCTAAGGACTATTAAGCACCAGAATAAGAAGTACAGCCTGATGAGAGAACAAGTCTGACCCTCCCTATGTGGAATGGCATGTGCATCACCTGCCCTCAGGAAGGATATGTGGGCTCAATACTGAGCACTTGTCTGATGTTTACTGCTGACTGGCTGGCAATCATTCTCACTCCTAAGGACTATTAAGCACCAGAATAAGAAGTACAGCCTGATGAGAGAACAAGTCTGACCCTCCCTATGTGGAATGGCATGTGCATCACCTGCCCTCAGGCAAGGGATGGATTTACAAGGCTGGAAACACTGACTTCCAGTCTCAGACACACTCACAGTTAAGGGATTTAATCTTTGCTTTTCTTCCCATAAATATAGGGTGGGGACATGGTGCTAACCCCAAGCTGATCTCCATGGGACTCTGGATCTCTGCTCCCCACAGTCCTGGTGGCCTCTGAAGTTGACTCAGGGATTTGAGTTTGGTCACTTAGCTCCACCCTTCCTTCTGGACTTGGGGAGGTCCAGGTATGATGGGGAGATGCATCCATGCAGGATGGGGGCCTGAGTGGGTGGCTCTCACTTCCCTTCCAGTCCCTTCAACCAATGATCCATGTTTAAGGAGCTCATTTCTGCTGTTCAGACCATTGAGCTGGTGCCTTGAAGCTTCCGGAACAGCTGTGGGAACCAAGAATCATTACTCCAGACAAAGAGTGGTGAGCAGACTCAATATCTAGGTTATTACTGAGTTGGCCTTGAGAGCTGGGAGCAATGCCAGGCACAGACATGGAGGGGGCTGCGAGGGATAGGCCCAGCTGGCGGGCAGCACTGTGCTGGCTGCAGGGCCTCCCTGGGCTCCCTACTCACTGCTATGGAGTTGGATTCAACTCATAGCGACCCCTCCTTTCTGAGGCAGTATCACTATGGAAGTAGATTGCCCAACCTTCCTTCTGAGGAGTGGCTGGTGGGTTTGAACCGCCAGCCTTCTGGTTAGCAGTCAAGTGTCTTAGGCACTGCACCACATGGGCTCCCTAAAGAGCTCATATTCTGTCATATTCTTCAGAGAAAGGGAAGAGAAGGAGCAGGGATGGCACCTCTGCTCCCAAGCCTGCCCCAAGGAAGACAGAATCTGCTACCTGCTTTTCCTTCTGCCCTTGGCAGTCAGAACACATCCCCTGCATGCCCTGGTTCCAGACTTCACCAGCTTCCCAGAAAACCCAGGTGCTTAGGCTGGACATCTACTCAGAGTCTCTATTTCTTCCCTTTAGTTGTGTCCCCATACCCACTCCTTAGGCATAACTGCCTCTAGTTCCCTTCATCTGCTCTTGTTAAATGGAGAAGATGCAGGGATGGGTAAAGGAGCTAAAGGTTGGCAAGCCCCAGACCACCACCTAGCCACATGCAAATCTACTCACCGCACTGAAGAAGGGGATGTTGGAGGCATTGCCCAGGAAGCCAAAGGCGACAGGGAAAAATGCCCTAGGAGCAGAGGAGTGGAGGGAGGGGTTAGTCATGGCCCAGGAGGTGAGGGAAGAGAGTAGTCAAGTTGGAAGTCCATGAAAGGTGCAGTCTTAAATAAGTCCTGATACATGCTACAACACAGATGAGCCTTGAAAATATTGTGACTGAAATAAGCCAGTTACAAAAGGACATACTGTATGATCCCACTTAAATGAACCATTTAGAATAGACAAGTTCATAGTGGTTACCAGGGGTGTGCGGGAAAGAGACTCAATGCTTAGGGCACATTTAGCTTCTGTTAAGGGTGAAGGTATAGTTTGGGAACGAATAAGGGTGATGGTTGAACAACCAGATAAACACAATTAATGCCACTGAATTGTACATATGAAGATTGTTGAAATGGCAAAGGTTTTGTTACATATACCTTTACCATAAAAATAAAAATATAAGTAAATAAGATGTATATTAAAAACTAAAAAAGGCTCAGATTTGGTTCCTGAGAGAACATGAATACCTGCACATGTGGGACAAGCTTAGTTAGTGGGCTCTGGGGTCAGATTTCTTGGGTTCAGATCTTGGCTAGCTCAACCAACTACTGGGGCTGTTCAAACTTGGGCACATTCCTTAACTTCTCCGAATCTCAGTTTTAAGCTATAAACTGGGGTTAGTAACAATACAGGACCTTAACACAAAGACAAGTGTCATTCCTCAAGGAGTTTGGAGGCTCTGGAGTTAGTGTTTCTGTGTGTAGCAGAGTGGTCAGAGGATTACAAGTTTGAATTCTGGTTGAGTTGCTTCCTTTCCTTGGGTATCAATTTCATGAGGTTCAGCTGGTGGCGTAGTGCCTAAGGCATTTGACTGCTAACCAGAAGGCTGGTGGTTCAAACCCACCAGCCACTCCTTGGAAGGAGGGTTGGGTAATCTACTTCCGTAGTGATACTGCCTCGGAAACCCAAGGAGGGGTTGCTATGAGTTGAATCTGACTGAACAGCAGTGAGTTATTTTTGAGCTACACCTCTGAGGTCCCTTAGAGCTCCAATGTTTCGTCCCTACAGTGTTGCTACAAGAGTCTTTGTTAACGTTTTATTTTTTGTTTGAACAATCAAATATGCAATGGCCCTACTTACATGTCTGAGTCAAATGGTAGTTATCATTAGAACTTATTTGTCCTCCCTACTAAACTGCACTTTCCTTGAGAACTTTCTTCTTGTTGAGTGCCATAGCTCCAAACCTAGTCCTGTTTTGGGCATATGTTTTGTTGTTGTTGTTATTTGCCATCGGTAGTAGTTACTTATTAGGATCCCTGATGGCTCAGTGAAGCACTCTTCTGCTAACTGAAAGGCCTGTGGTTCAAATTCACCAGCCACTCTTTGGGAGAAAGATGAGGCAGTCTACTTCTGTAAAGATTTACAGCCTCAGGAACCTTATGTAGCAGTTCTACTCTGTCCTACATAGTCTCTCTGTGTTGGAATCAACTGAAGGGTATTGGGTTTTTTTTTTTTTTTTTTTTTTGGTGAAGATTTAAAGAGTAGTGGTGCAATGGTTAAGCGTTCAGCTTCTAACTGAAAGGTTGGCAGTTCAAGCCCACCTTGTGGCTCTGCAGTTGAAAAGACCTAGCAGTCTGCTCCTGTAAAGATTACAGCCTAGGAAACCCTATAGAGCAGTTCTGCTCTGTCTCATGGGGTCACTATGAATTGAAATTGACTCAGTGGCACACAACAACAACAGGTGGTTATGTGCAGGATTTGATTATTTAAATGCATGGCTATTTGAATAATGACATATTTGAATTCTGAATACATGAATGATAGAACATACGGTTGAAAACTTATTTTCTTGAAGCCACACTGCATACTACACTAGGACATTCAAGCTAATCAGGGCATTTTCTCAGCTGTACTAAGCAAATTGAGGGCACCTGTAAGAACCCAGGGGTTCCAAACCCTAGCTCCTTCCCATGATTCCATAAGCCATGATTCTCCCAGTCTTCATTATCTGCACTCCCACCACTATTCTGTCCACATTACCGCATAGACCCAGGAGTCTTTCCTCCCTATGCTTATCTTCACTGCTATCCTTTTCTCTCTTTGAGCACCTCCAGTCTACTAGACCCCACCCATTCCTTAAGGCCCATCGCATGTCACTCTTCCTCTAGGACACTTCTCTGGCCTCCCGTCGTTGAGCTGTCACAACTCTGACTATATACATGTGACCACACATCATCTCTGTATTCCACCCTGCTGTTCACTGGGCCTAGAACTGACACATGACAGACTGAAGGATATGGAGCCAAGAGACAGAGACAATAAATCAAGTTCCAGTCCTTCATAGGCTAGTTGTAAGATCTTGGGCAGGGGCAACCTCTCTGAGCTTTGGATTCCTTACCTGCAAAACCGAACCCACTGCCATTGAGTTAATTCCAACTCATAGTGACCCTGTAGGACAGAGTAGACCTGCCCCACAAGGTTTCCAAGGCTATACATCTTTACAGAAGCAAACTGCCTCATCTTTTTCCTGTGGATTGACTGGTGTTCAAACTGCTGATCTTTTGGTTAGCAGCTACACTATCAAACCAAACAATAACCCAAACTCACTGCCATTGAGTTGGTTCTGATTCGTAGCAACCCTCACTGGGTTTCCAAGGCTATAAATTTTTATGGAAGCAGACTGCCTCATCTTTCTTTCATGGAGCAGCTAGTGGGTTTGAACCACTGATTTTTTAACTTAGCAGCCAAATGGGTTAACCACTAGACAACTGTTGTTGTTGTTGTTGTTATGTGCCATCGAGTCGGCCCCGACTCATAGCGACCCCTCCTTGGGTTTCCGAGGCAGTATCACTACGGAACTAGAGCTCCTTAATGATATCACCAGAGTTCCTTATTTGCAAAGTAGAGGAAAATCCTATAATGGGTCATGGAGAGGATAAAATGAGGTGATGATTGTGAGCTTGCTTGGTACAAATTAGAGGCTTTGCAAATATTTGTTCACTACTCTTCCTCCTCAGCTGGATCGTAGAGACTTGAGGACAGACTGTGTGTCTCCTCCCTGGTAATGAATGGGTACAGTGATGGGCACACAGTAAATGCTCAATATTTGCTGATGGATAGGTTAATAGCAGGATTGTGGGGCTGGCGCGGGATCAGGCAGTGTTTCGTTCTGCTGTGCATGGAGTTGCTATGAGTCGGAAACGACTCGACGGCACTTAACAACAACAGGTTAATGCCTCCAACTTATCCTGCTACCTGTGATTGGAGGGGCCTTTCCAAAGCATCAAACTCATGTCCCTGCCCCTTTCCAATCCTTCTACCAATCCACATCCCCCATCTCTTGTAGGATGAAGTCTCAACTTCTGTATACCCTGCTAGTTGGGATCTTCAAATCTGTGGATGGTCTCAGCTACTCAGAGGCCTTGGTGGCCTGTCTAGGGCACAAGGGACATGCACTCACTTGAAGAGGTTAAAGAATCCATAGATTTCTAAGAACATGCCCAGGAGGGGCCAGCGCAGGAGCACAATGATCACACCCCCCAGGAAGAAGCTGGTCCCCTTGAGCTTGTGCCGCTGGAAGAAGAAGAAGAACATCTTCCTCAGGCCAATGATGAGGGAGAGGCCAGTCAGGAACAGCAGCTGCGGGGGAGGGAGAGGAGTGGGAGAGTAAACACATCAGCACTCCTAGGAGTCAGGGGCTAACTCTTCAAGGATGGACAGTATCAGAGAGGGTGACCCAGGAACATGGCAGAATTTCCAGCCCTGAATAATTGGAGCTGCTTAAGAGCTGGAGGATGGACAAGAAGATGTACTTTGAAGTCTCTGGCTTCCCACTCAATTTCTTGGATCCCAAGCACTTCTTCATATGTGGTTTCATTTCTCATCACATCTCCTGGAGAAGATGGGATAGGTAGTAGGATTGTCCCCATTTTACAGAAGTGAAGATTGAGGCCTAAATAGATTAGACAGCCATACTCAAAAGTTACATGGAACCTTCAGTGGCTCCACTGCTTACAGGATTATACTCCAGACCTTCCACTACATGGTCCTATCACTATCTTTAACTCTTACTGCTCCCTTAAGACTGATTATATATATATATATATATATATATATATATATATATATATATATATA